GCAGGAAGCTGTGAAGCTCGCCCTGTTACACATTCTCGCGGCTCTCCCCCACCCACCTGGCAAGCGCAGGGTGCTGGCAGGAAGCTGTGAAGCTCGCCCTGTTACACATTCTCGCGGCTCTCCCCCACCCACCTGGCAAGCGCAGGGTGCTGGCAGGAAGCTGTGAAGCTCGCGCTGTTGCGCATTCTCGCGGCTCTCCCCCACCCACCTGGCAAGTACAGGGTGCTGGCAGGAAGCTGTGAAGCTCGCGATGTTGCGCATGCTCGCGGCTCTCCCCCACCCACCTGACATGTGCAGGGTGCTGGCAGGAAGCTGTGAAGCTCACGCTGTTGCACATGCTCGCGGCTCTCCCCCACCCACCTGGCAAGTACAGGGTGCTGGCAGGAAGCTGTGACGCTCGCGATGTTGCACATGCTCGCGGCTCTCCCCCACCCACCTGACATGTGCAGGGTGCTGGCAGGAAGCTGTGAAGCTCGCGATGTTGCACATTCTCGCGGCTCTCCCCCACCCACCTGACAAATACAGGGTGCTGCCGGAAAACCCCATCCTCTGTAAATTGTAGACACTATGTGAAAACTGAAATGCTGGAATCACATCTGGCCCCCAGAATCACAAGACCCTCAGTATGACAGAGACCATGCATATTGGCCATTATAAAGTTTATATTTGTGTGCTTTATGTACTGAATCACAGCCTCTGATTGTAGGACCAGGTGTAAACAAGCAGGTGTGCTCAATAAGGTGTCTCCTGGGTATACATACCTTTGGAAAGATCATGAGGAACTGATGGTATGCTCTGCTCCCTGAACTCCTTATCTCCTGCAGCACAATGAGGCTCTCTGTGGCCCCCTCGGCGATAGTGAGCTGCCCAAGGTGACCGCGCACCCTGACGCATCCTTTGAACTGGTGCGTAGGGTCTTGCTGGACCTGCAGCAGGAGGTGGAGGACATGTGCAACCAGCAGCTGAGTAAGATCAGTATGACAGGTAAGTTTGCTTAAATCAAGACAAACACAAGTGTGGCATCCAGGGGTGTTGGAAATTTGGGGGGGTGGATTGCAATAATTAAATAAATGGATGAATGAATGAATGAACAATCAAGAGCGTGTTCCTTATCTTTTATTGTGAATCCGCCCGTTACTGAGGTCAATCCGCTGCGCACACAGAGCATGTTCCTTCTAATATTATTTTAAAACCTTTCTTACCTTGTATGCAAACATGCTGTGACCATGGCATGTGCCCATTGCAATGTTGTGATATACATCACAACCCCCCGCCCCCCACAACTCCTTCCGATGCCACTGGTGTCATCATTTCAGGGATTAAGATTTGTGGTCATAATTGGAGAATCACTTTCAAGTGATTGACACTAATGCTGTTAGTCAATTACTTGAAAAGATGTCATTTTCTTTACAGTGAAAGACACAACAGTGTTTACACTGGGAGACAATAACGGTAAGGCCAGTTTGGAAGCATCTGTATAGCCACACTCACAGGCACCAGTAATTACTTTCTGTCTGGATGGTGAAGATAAGTAACTAGATTTGGTCATTTGACAGCTATTTTCAGCAAGTTTCAGTTACAGCAGTGATCTGTTTCAATGAATATCCAGTCCTTTAGGGCACTGTTTCTCAGCTGGTGGGTCGCGACCCAAGTGTGGGGCTTGTGTAGTTTAACTTACACAAAAATGTTCTGTGGGCAGAAGGAAAAAATGATTGGTTCAGAGAGATAACCAATCAGATTGTAGAGGAGGTTGGTCCAAGCAACTTGACTAGGCGGGACCAAGACATACGATTGGTTGGTCTCACTTCCTCTAGTTGCTTGGAGCAACCTCCTGTACAATCTAATTGGTTATCTCTCTGGACTAATCAGTTCTCCTTTTGCTCTCAGAGCATTTTTGTGTAAGTTAAACTCCCATGAGCAAAAGTGTGGCGTGGGATCATTTCCATTGGGTTGCAGGTTTTTTAACAGTTCATGAAAGTATCATACTACTGTTACTCCATCATTTTTTGTGAAATTAATTTGGTTACATTTTTTAAAACATTGGATCATGACTCAATGATCAAAGAAAAATGTGGGTCCTGAGTCTAGCCTAGCTGAGAAGCACTGCTTAGAGAATCCATACATGCATCTTTCAGCCATTTACCCCTGCAGCTGTAAGCTTCTCCACAGGCTTTAGACCATGAGACAAACTATTGACCCCCCACCCATCTTGCAGTTATTGCAGCTAAGACTTCTGGCCAAAGGTTCAAGTTCGAGTTTTTTAAGTGTAAGTACCTTTCTCCCTTTAAGAATTAAATGATTCTGAGGGTAAATGTAACAGAAGCGCCAATCAGAGCAGGAACCGATTTCACTGACCTGTAATGTTAGCTGTATGCATACCCGCCCTGTGTGGGGGTTTCCCAGCTGATGGTGGCTGTATGTGTGCCCGCCCTGTATGAGAGCCCCCCCAGCTGATTCTCTATTTGTCCTGCAGTGTTTGGTGGACTGGGCTCCAAAGCTGCGGAAAAGCAAGGCCAAGGTACATCGGCTATGAGAACTTGGACTTTGAAGCTAAATTAACCTCACACCACATCCTTTTAATCGTTCTATCGGTTACACAGGGCCAGGGGCTTCCCCCGGATCCTCACACAGCGAAACACACGGTCCAGGTGAGTCTGACACTGGGTTTCAGGGTTCCTCTTTTCAGATAAGCTTGATATTTTTCACATCATATAATGAATTTTTTAATTGGATTGAATTCTCTTTCAGAATAGTGGGTAACATTGGAAGAAGAGAGATACTCCTCCCTTAAAGCTCTGGCTTAATGACCTTGCAAACACATCATATCTGGAACAAATACGATATACTCTTTGTGACAGACTCTCCTCTTTCAGTAAAATTTGGGCACCTCTCTACATTTCTGCAGTTATAGTTTTTTGGCTTCTCATTATGACGAACTAGCTAGACAGCTGGGACTGGGACTGGGGTTGTGGGTGTGTGGGAGGGTATCGTATCATATTATGTTGTGTTTTGTAATATATTTTTATGCTATGTGATATTGTACAAAAAAACAGAGCAAATATGTGATTCTGTAAATTCCATTGGCATACAACATGTGAACTGCTCAATAAATATATCTTAGGAAAAAAGAATAGTTGGTAGCGTTGTTGTCTCACCTTTAGGGTTCAGGGTTCAAATGTCACCTCTGCTCTGTGTGTGGAGTTTGTATGTTCTCTCTATGTCATGTGGGTTTCCTCTTGCAGTTATGCAGATGGACTGTCTCTAAATTGCCTATAGTTTATGATTGTATGAGTGTGTGTGTGCCCTGTGATGGACTGGCATCCTGTCCAGGGTGTACCCCTGCCCTGTGCCCAGTATTGCCTGTAATAGACTCCAGCCCCCCCGATAACCTTCATAATGACCAGGATAAGTAGGTGGAAGTTCCATCCTTCCATCCATCCATTATCTACCACTTTTCCGGGTCGGGTCGCGGGGGCAGCAGTCTAAGCAGGGAAACCCAGACTTCCCTCTCCCCGGCCACTTCATCCAGCTCCTCTGGGGGAATCCCAAGGCGTTCCCAGGTCAGCCGGGAGACATAGTCTCTCCAGAATGTCCTGGGTCTTCCCCGGGGCCTCCTAGGTGGAAGTTGATTGGATGAATTCTTTTTACAAGAATACCAATGATTTCTGCACTGTTTGTCAGGGAATGACACACAGACATAGATTAATACAGTATTTACTGAAACTCTGGTATACAACTCGATACAAATACGTTTCCTGTGTCAGCGTGGTTCCATGCAAAGGGATGTCAACATAAATGTACGACTGACGTAGTGAGGGTCTTTCAAGAGGGGATGAAGATGTGAAAGAGTAAAGGTATTACTCTGAACTGTGAGGTGAAATGAAAAGAAAGCAGCAGGAGGAAACTTGTGTCCAGCATGGATTACAGGGCAACAAGAACGACACGGGGCTTCAGGCCCAAACGGTTTATCACACTCTGATGCTGAGGATCTCTGCGACTCAGTCCGATAGACCATTACAATCCTAAACGTCCATCTGTTTTCCTGAAAGTTGTCATCTTCCCCTGCTGGCGGGCATCTGCTTCTTGGTGGTAGCTCCTCCTGGCACTTTGGGCACCTGGTACCTCACAGCATTTGTGGGAATATCAGTGTAGGCAGAGTTCACCCCCAACTCCAGCGCTGCTGTGGCCCTCAGCCTTCATGACTGTCTTTGCTTGTTTGCTTTCTTTACACTCCCTTTACACTCCCTTTACACTCCCTGTAACACCTTAAAGTCAAAGAGTGACGAGGTATGGGCGAATTCTAACACGTTATCGTTCATTATTCAGCGGCTGGTCTGGGCACTCTGGACGTGAGGAGCAGAGACGAGCCAGTCGGTGAGGCCTTCACTCAGATGCATATGCTTGTCTTACATATGGACACGTGTGTACTCATTGTGTGTATCCTTCAGTTAACAGAGACACCAGGAACACAGAACCTGGTGAGAAAAAAACCACCCATGTGTCTTATATGCACAGATATATACAGCTACACTCACCCGTGCTGAATGAATGACGGGCTCTTTTCTCACTGCAGCAGCCAGCCAGCAGAAGGAGCCAGAGGCCTCTAGCAGAGATGAAGTTCCTTGTTCCCACGCTGCAGTGGAACCTGGATCAGGAAGAACCGCAGTTCAACAGAAAGGTGAGTGCAAGTGAAACACTTAAACTCCAGCAGCACTTTTTGTGAACATTGTGAATTAAGTGTGAACAGTTAAAGTACTCAAGTGATTTTTCAAATCTAAAAAATTTGACCTTGTATCTTTACTGATTGGGTAGGGTGACCACATGTCCTCTTTGTCCTGGACTTGTCCTCTTTTTTGGGGTGTAAAAAAGCGTCTGGCCAGGGTATCTAAATTGCTTGAAATGTCTGTGATTTTGCTCTGTTTCATATTGATATTTGCCATCTACAGCCAGAGTACTTTCTGCGTACATATTTCCGTTGCTTTGACACCTCTCTTTCCATCCTGCCCTCAGTGTTCTCCTTTTGAGAGCTAAAATATGGTCACCCTAGGCTTTGCATCTGCTGATTAGTGACCCCCTTTCTTGTCACCTTCCCCCCAGTGACGCCGGGTGCAGGTGGGACTGCACGTCCTCCACCGGCAGAGGCTGTGGGCACGGATGGTGTGAGCGCGTGTGCGTAAGACCGGTTGCTCTGCACACATCCCATAACAGACTCAGTAACTGCGGTAACAAGGAGGACGCTGCTTATGCTCAGTGGTGGCTGAAGTGAGACTACGCTCCGAAGTGTGCAGGTTTTTGGTGACATAACGAACTCTCACTTTCTCTAGGGGGATCAGCTGGCACCCAGCCCAGTGTGACGGTCATCGCCAACCAAGGTTACCCTTCTATTCTGCTAATAGGAAAAAAGCTAAGCATCTCTTTTCTTAGGATTCGATTAAACTCTCAATCTTAAAGTAGTAAAATTTAATTGCTATGTAACAGTCTGGGCAAAGCATTGTATTGGTAAGTGGTTTATCTGTCCATTTATCTATTAATACTGCAAACCTGTAAACAAAGAATATTCCACACTTTTCCTACTGTGTTAGATTCACCAGAAAAATGTTTCTCTCTTCTTGGCTGCAGTCAATCCGAGTCTCTTTTTGGACAGTCTGACCTCTGACGGTCCAGGGCACCATGTCCTCCCAGTCTGTAAGTCTTCTCCCTGCAGTACCCTGGATTTTGATACAGCTGAACCTGACCTTTGACCTTTCTCCCTCCTCTACCAGTGACAGAAATCTCTGTGCAAAGTCTGCAGTGTCCAGAACCCAGGACCAGGCCTGAGTTTTTGCAATGTGAGTCGGCACTGGGATCGAAGCCTTTAAATGTCTGGCTGGGAACAGGACCTTTGTCATAACCCTCGTCTCCTCTCTCCTGCTCCGCAAGATGCTTGTAAGCTGGTCTTCGACTGTAACACCGCCCACCGCCGGCTGCGTCTCTCAGAGGGCAACACCAAGGCCACCCTGCAGCCTCCCACGCAGCCCTACCCCGACCTGCGGCAGCGCTTTGACGGCTGGATGCAAGTGATGTGCAGAGACGCGTTGACTGCCAACCGCTGCTACTGGGAGGTAGAGTGGAGGGGGAGGGGTTCCTCGCTGGGTGTGGCCTACGCGGCACTAGCCAGAAAGGGGACAGACGCCCGGGCGGGACTGGGATACAACGCCGTCTCCTGGAGCTTGGAGCTGTCGGACACCTGCTGCTCGGCCATGCACAACAATGAGAAGCAGGACATCATGGTGAGCTACTCGCCACGTGTGGGCATCTACCTGGACCAGAACGAGGGCAAGCTGGCCTTCTACAGCGTCGCCGACAACATGCAGCTCCTGCACGTGTTTCACGCCAACTTCGTGGAGCCCCTGTACCCTGCGTTCGGAGTGGGCAGCGGTGTGGGCATCGGCCTGGACTTTGCCCTGGGGCAGTTCAGCTCCACAGTGGACAGTGTGAAGATCTGCTCCATCTGAATAGCAGGAAGGTTCCATTCCTGCTATCATGGGAGGGGGAGCTTCCTGCTTGGGGACATACTAATTTCTGGTGACCATATGCCTATGTCAGGTTTTCTGGGGCAGGGGAAACACAATAAAATGACAAAAACATGTTTTTCTTTGCTTTATTAAAAAAGACTTGCATTCCCTTGTAGTGCAGGCAACCGTAAATCTTGAGCACCCCTCTATAAGCGGGTTAGGAATTTGTCACTGGCACAGACTTGAAGACTGCTTTAGTTTCATCACACTGTTGTGAGCATTGGTAAGAAATTCACAAATTATGCTTCTTTAAGATACTTCATTTTCCTCTTGGTCCCACCCAAGACAGAATCCCTTTGAAAGCCCCCGCTACCCCCTGCCAATCATCATATACACACAATCCATGCTGGTACTTCATAAGAAAAAAGGTCACCATTTCCGGTTTTCACAAATTTAGTATAAAATGAGATCCCTCAGGTGCATAAATATGTATCAGGCAAAAAAGAAGCTTAGCCCTAAATATCACAGTGCACAACGCATACAGATTTCCCTTGAAAAAGTTACATTCCATTTCTGAAAGGAACATCAAGCACGCTAGCAGTCGGTGTCTGTCTCACTGCAATGCTTCACGGTGGACATGTATCTGGGCTGACGGGAGTCAACAGTGTCCACATTAATATAATACAAACATGCATTAAATAAATCAAAACCTTTAACATCTTAAAACTGCATTTAAAACTAGTGTAATTCATTTTCAGACAATAAATACTCAATGAAAATAATATGTTAGTAATTAGTGCAGGAGATCAGGAGGAACAGCACTCAGCAGGACTGGCTTCTCCATGCAGGACGTCGCATGTGAACCACAAGCTGGCCGACTACGGTGATGCATTCTGGTGGGCATAAGCACGGCAGTGCTAACCATTGAGAGAGAAACCAGTAACCATTAATGGGTGACAATGAGACTCGCAAGCTGCCGCTCTCTGGATCGCCGGCCGGCGTTTTGTGCTGGTCTCCTTCCATGGAAAAGTACCGATGTGCATTGGCATGAGCCACGGCTGTGGAGCACGAGGCCCCTCTCTCTGCTCACCCCCATCACCCCTCTGCTCACAGCCTCGTTTTCCACTAAACATCCCAAAAACGTCTTTCACACATTCCTCTAGCCCTCAACACGTATGCATCTGCCCTGCTTCTCCATGCTCAGGGCCCACAGACCGGAGCTGCGCACAGACCGGAGCTGCGCACAGACCGGAGCTGCGCACAGACCGGAGCTGCGCACAGACCGGAGCTGCGCACAGACCGGAGCTGCGC